CGACAGAGAATAGATGGCTTTCCTTGATAACGAAGATACGAGAATGTTAACAGCCACACTAGTTGCTGGAGTCGAGCAAGCTCAACTTCATCGTATCGAGACCCAGCCGACGACCGGTGAGCTTTTGTCATGTCCAGTCACGGTTACTTCCTGATCCACGTTGCAATCATTACCCCGTAGCACGTATTGTGGAGAGTCAGAACGATCGTGTTCCACTATCTCAACTCGGGCCACCACCAGTCACAGTTATGCGAGACTGCGCAGTCTGCTAAAAATTTGAACAGAAAAATTCATCAGGGAGCTCATGGATTGGAACGTAGACGTTCCTGTGTATTGGGAGAGGTCGGACCACGGCAGTGACTATTACCGTACCGAAATTGAGTCAGGCGGGGACCTGAGCTGCAGATTAGTCAGCGGATACTTAGCTCTGGCGTTAAGTAGTGGCCTAGAACAGATACAAATCATATGTTTTGCAAATTGAACGGCATCGAGGCTCAAGCTCAAGCGCTCAACGTTGCAACTTCCTTCCTTCATTGGTCTTTTTGTGAGTCTATTCCACAGTATTTGAACGGATAGTCACCCAGTATACGATTGGATGCGCGGCATAATACAGGAAAAGTCTCTCAAGGTGATGATCTCTTGACATTCTGAGACGGCGTTAACCTAATCGATATCGCGATCAGGGAAGCAATAAGTAATAGGCATGCACGGCTCTCGATACCAAGATCTGGACCCTTCTACACTGGACACGCTGACTATTCGGATGTGGCTAGTATATCGAAGAGTAGCCGAGCCGTGCTTCTGGACCTTAATGATAAGTTGTTGTGACTATCTCATTTATGTGCATCCATACCACGGAGTCACCGTATCAGTGGCTTCGTACCTTGTATCTCTGGCGGACGTAATATGGGGCCCATCGGTGAGGCCTGGGGGCTGGTGATGAACGGAAATATTTTTGGGTGAGCTCCATTTGCACTCGTCCAAATAAATGTAAACAGACACGTCGCGTCTGCCTCATATGGGCGAGGCTGGCATAGGGCGTGACATGGGTGAGGGTTACCCGGGTACCCACCCGGGTGCCACCCACGGATGGAACGTGGGTCGGGTGATATGGGTGGTGGGTGGTACAGGTGGCTCACCCGCACGGGTACGGGTCGGAGGGCTTGCTAAAGTTGGGTATCCACGGGTACCCACGGGTGGTCTAGTACCCCAATGAGAGGTATGAACCGGCGCCAAGTGACAAATTAGTTTCAGATGAATATTGTACCCTCCCTACTTGCACTTATCCGATGTCAAAATCAAGCTCGCTGAGGTACTATAACCGTGGTATGAAGGTTCTGAACAGGTACTAAGCAGTGCTGTATGACCATAAACTATTTTCAGACGGATTTTAATTTTTAGTCCTTATCCGAGTCAGAGCCTGTCAACATGACGCCAACCGACATCTATTCGAGATGTTTAAATTCGATGTGTGCTGCCCTGGTGGCCTGGTCCCTCTCTCCGAGTCTCTCGTCATCAGTTAATTAAACCTCAATCCTCCATGTCGAGGAGCAGTATCAACTCAGCTTCGAGCGCATCTTTGGCACCTAACTCGCCAGCAACAAATACACGCCGTTGCGCGGTCAATAAATGCCCATTCAACTCAGTAGCGGATCCTCTCTATATCGAAAGGGTAAAGCTCTTTCAAGGCACAGGTTGCCGTTGGATCTTGGTTCAATACACCCCTTATGCCCGATCTCAGCATCGCTACAAAAATCATGCGAAAGAAAATGGGAAAGGAGAAGGGAGAAGGGAAGGGAAAAGAGGATCCCTCACGCCGCGACACAATTGATGTTGACTCTGATTGATTTTTTACATATATTTCATACATATGTTCTCATATGTACTACAGTACAGTTCTACATAACATATACTAGTTCACCCGCGGGTGACCCATACCACCTGCAGGTCCACCCATGGATCCACCCGCACCCGTGATACTCTTACCCGTACGGGTGCGGGTAGGCCTCTGAAGTTCCATCTACCCGCGGATTGGGTACGGGTGCCACCCGGGTCCACCCATGTCACGCCCTAGGCTGGCACCCAGTCTACGCACTTCACACTGCCACCAATACTAATTATTGCATCCCATTGATTTTTATTCTAAGCTGTACATAGTGTGTCATACCGCCACCGATAAATTTCATTAAGGTTTGCACATACAATGTCCCCCCTGTTCAATTATTTGACTCAATTCCCAGATTCCTGCCACACTACCACCTTCGGACAGTTATACTGGCCCATCGCTGCCACCAGGATGTCTATATTGACCGCATCCGTACATCATGATTACCATGACATGTATTCCTCCGACCCACCCGAACCTAAACTCCCCAATCAATCGCATGTGACACTGCAGACCTCGAGCAATATTAGTCCCTACAGACTGCAAATTTGTCTGTGCTCACCATCTCGAGTCTTGTATGACGCGGATCAATTCACATGAGTCTCACATGTTCAGAATCTGTGTACAGATAAATAAATTATCAATCCGACATTGGCAGGTCAATAAAACTGACACTTCAACCTTCCACATACTGGCCTGTGCGTACAGTCAAGTTTGGGAGGAAACCAAAGTGACTGGCCAAATAATAAAAACTTCAAGAAAACAACGTACTTTTTGAGTTGTTCATATCTTCATCTCAACCTTTTCGGCACAACTTTCATTCAAAACAATTAGACTCGCCTGCATAGACAGAGCAATTCATACATTCACTAGTTTGTGTAATATACCATGCTGTTGAAGATATCATATATCATTCCGCTGCAAACCCAGAGGCAGTCGACCCCAAAACATGCGCTCGCAACGCGACGAACTTACTTCCGCTCCCCAAGAATCATTTCCATAGTCTCTTCCACAGCCCACGCCCCAATCCGCGCCCAGCGTGCATCCTCTCTTCTCAAACACCTGGTAATCTCCTCCGCTCCAACCTTGACACTCTTGCCTCGCATCCCCTTCGCACGCATGATCTTTCGCACAGGTGCAGCAAGCAATGCCGGCGTCACAGAAACATAAGCCTCATCTTCCTCATACATCGGTGGATCAGAGAGATAGGCATCTTCTTCAGACATGACGAACTTGGACGAAGAAGCCCCAGTAGAAGAAAACATCGTGTTATTGGCGGTTGAAAACACTGAGCTGTTCGCACTTGAGCAATTAGCAGTGTTGTTCGCAGTCTTCCACAACCCGCTTGTGTCGCCAGACCCAGGAGGACGCGAACCGGAGACAGCAACGGGCGTCAGTGGTTGGTCCCAGAGCACGATGCTACCCTCTTCATATAACTTTAACACCGCCCACGAAAATAGGCGCTTCATCTTCACACGCGGCACATCTGTGGGCTTGGTCCTCGTTCGTGAATGAGCAAGGGCTTTCGATAAGGGCCCATGGGTATTGTTCGAGGAGGTCTTCTGTGTCTGCATAGCCTTGTCTTTTTCTGCATCCCTCTCTGCTTGGGCGCGTCGCTTCCTCTCGGTATGAACCACCCGGCAAGCGAGAAGTGCGAGTTCTGGAACGCGGCGTAGGTGCGAGAGCGTGAATGCAGGGCGATCGGGAGCACTATCATTCAGAGTAGATGCGCGTGGCGTCATGTTATCCGTTGTATACACCGTTCGTGCCTTGGGAGTTTGGTCCAATGGAACGCGCGGGCGCTTAGTCGGCGTCGAGAACAAATTATCATCTGCGTCCCAATGAAGGGCCACAACAGCATGATCCATGTAATGCTTGAGGTACAGTCGAAACGTGTTCTCAGTCAAGTCCCGCGCATGTAATCGGGAAGGGTGACGAAGTTTCGGTGGATCCTGAAAAATAAAGGGTTGGGTGGTGGTTGTATACAATGCAGAATACTCACTGTAGATCCATGTTTAATTGGACTGGATGGGGCGGAGGTTGTACTATCCGTAAGTGGTGAGGATGGGGCATGATCGTGTGCTGGACGCTTCAAGGGCGTGCGGGGCACGGGGATACCCGTCCCCGATGCCGACGTGGATGCCGCAGCTGGCTCTTCCGAACCAGTCTCACATGAAGCAACGGCAAGAGGCACTGGTATCTCAAACGGTTTCGGCACGGAATATCTCGACTTGTGAAGCTCCGCAACGGTTTTCCAGTGTTTCCATTGGTCATTAGTCGACTGGCAGGGTTCTTCAAGTTCATTCCCATGTTGCGTTCGTGAAGAGCAACCGTGAGGACACGCTCAGTTTACAGTGAAAGATAAGTAGCGCAGCACTTACCAATAGATTCGACTACTATTTGTCTTGTATCGTAGAACCGAGAAACTTTGCCGATTACTTGTACTGGGTAGCCGATAGCAGTGACAGGAGTGGGTGGTGCAGGAGGAATAAGTGACGCCGCCTCCCATTTTGAGTTCTGAACCGAGCGACTTGCATCAGCATTCGTTGGAGCTTTCGGTGGCAAAGGATGACGAAGCACGCAGTCTATGACAGCCGTAGAATCGTCGACTATTGAACAACCTCGGTAACTACTCGAAAGCTTAGCCACAAAAACTGTTCACTCACTAGTGTACAACGTCCGTTTCTCGTAGTCCTGAATTCCAACCACTATGCCAACAATGATCACTTTTCGACAGGGGATGTGTCCCAGCCAGTAAAAGTCGGCATCTGAATCCATGGTTGGTTAGGCAGGTATTGCGGTTAAGCAAGCGAGACAGACCTTTGGTGTTGCTTTCCTTCATCGAGAGGGCGTCTCTAATGAAGCATGGAGCAGTCGCTTCCTTGGTGAATGTCCACTTCCAGATGTCCTGTGCGGATGGAGATGTGCTGGAAGAACTCATGTCGTTGGACTTGAAGTTGTCCGCAATCTCGACATTCGCAGTCACTGAATGAGTCGTGTATCGGACTTCGAAGCTTCAAAGCTTCAAAGCTTCAAAGCTAATGATAGGGTCGTGAGTCGTGACACCACTGACGCGTAACTGACATGTCCATTGTCCACGTGATGTCCAGTGACCTTACTGAGAGTTACTGATTATTTAGCGACTACGTGTCTCTACAGTACATAGCTACATATTTACGCAACTTGCTAAAACCATACAACGAAGACAAGGTCAAGTGGCCAGAATATTTCTGTGCCAATCTTGATTGCGACTTCTCAGAACTTGCCAATCCAATGTATCGAGGGCTATACTATCGTCAACCAAGACGAACCTCTGAGCACGGTCCGACCTCCAAAGCTCAAGATGCATCCGTGTAACGAGCAGGGCATGTACCGTGACCTGTAGGCTTTGATACCATCCTATTGAGCGTCTCATTCCCCAACACCGACATACGACGTACTTTGAAGCCATATCACCGTACACAGACTGTCATGCCGACTGGTAAGCACAGGAAGCATAAAGGCTAGCTGTGAGAGATGCGCACGTACAGGAAGAAGCGCTATGGTCAGGATGACAAGAAGCGAAAAGACTGGCCAAATAGCTTCAGCAGCAAGCACGAATTGCCGAGGCTGTTTTACCACGTACAGAGTCCGCAGATGAAATAGAATATGTTGTGCTGAATGAGAATATTGAGCAAGTGATTGTCGTTTGTAAGACTTCTGTAATGTTTGATGGAGCGGTATAGTGTAAAAGACAAAATTTCTGTGAGGAAACTGGTCAAACCTGATAATTTTTTTTCCATTCAACGCTCACTCACCAATTTCAGCGACTACTAGTAAAACATAGGCTACAACAATGATGCGACTTTCGCCGACATTATAACAGCTAGTGATGTGAGGGATTGGAGGTTCGGATACTTCAAGTTGTAAATGCATCGATTGGTATCACTCTTTGGCAGCGACGGGAACACATACTTGTCACTGAGTTGCCAAAGCTATTCAAGATATAGATGACTGGGATCAAAATTGCCTGTGAAATAACTGACATCTCAAGAGGGACGCTCGGGAGAGATCTAAGCGTACGAAGAAGGAACCCAAGAGAATGATCAATATCCTTCTGCTTCTTCCCCAGATGGCGTACGTTCTCAAAATGAACATCCCTACAGGTATTATGTTTCATCGTGAAAATAGTGCAGAATAAGGATCAAAACCTACATTCCGCAGCTACCAATGTGATTCCCTGAAGCCCTGTAAATAAATGAGATATTTGTCAATCTTGGAGGCTTGTAAGGCACTGACATGAGTTTATCTGGAAGTATGTCTGACATTGCTATTTGGCACGTCAGACATCGTACAACACACTCTGGAGAAAGCACCTCACACTCAATGGCAAGGCAGGTTGCAATACCTCTACAACACTTTCAATCATGCAAACAGTAATACGAACTGGGGCTCACGGTAGGTATCTGCAGCTAACAGCACAAATGGCAGATAGCGACACACCAGATACAGTATCTTGACCTTCCCCCGCGTGGACTTGCGAAGATAGGCCAGCTTCGAAACCATTGGGCTCAGAATCGCGAAGATAGCAATAATCAGAGATAGTGCACCTCATCGTCGAATGTGATGATATAGTCATAGACCTTTGTAGATGTCAATCGAGAGGTATAGAGAAACTCCGGTAACAACACGAACCCAGATCACAGTTGTAGACACTGAGTTAATTTCAGATAGGCTGATACCAGTTGACAAGAGTTTCTCTCACCATAAGCGTACTAAGAAAATTCGGAGTCGGCATCTGTGAGGTCACTATTTGCATGACTCACATTTAGATTCAAAAGAGAGCGCCCTATCACGAAGTCGGTTGGTTCATAGAGAATCATGGGGTTGGAGGAAGGATGTCAAATGGTATACCACTCCTCTTGCCATCTACCATCTATAAGAAGCCGATAAATTCAGGCACAGATATTCGACGGCAGTGTCGGAGCAGCCAATAAATGAGCTCCAAGGGTGTGCGCAAGTGATGAGCACTGAGGCGGCAGCATTACTTGCACTGGCGCGGTAGCAGGCTGCAAGGACACAGATGTCACACAGTTACACTGGGACTCGCTCATCGTCCAAGCTCATATTGAACGCAAATCATGGAATGGAAGACATTGGCTAGGGGGTGCTGAGTAGGAATCTAGGTAAATTGAGTATGCGTAGACGCGCGGCAGTACATATCTTGCGGCTATGTCGCCGGGCTGATCGGAAATATTATCGATTCTTCGCCAATCAGATGACTCCAAGAACACGAGTTCCCGAAGAGAGATAGTAGGAGATCCCCGTGCGCCGTGCGGAAGCACGCCTTGATCAACGTCACTGACCAGTGACTAATACTGAGTAAGTATCAGGTTTCCTATGGACATTCATGCCCGGCCTGGGTTGTGATCGTGGGAACTATAGAAGGATCTCCTACTAAATATAGCTATCTTATACTGGCATAGACTACAACGATGAGCCACTGACAGTGACAAGATTGCGACGTCGCGCGGACTCAGACGAGCTTGTAGCATGACCCCCAAGTTACGGGTAAATTCTTACTATTACTAGTAGGTAATCACACTAAGCTCTGGCGACCCTGATTGATGTGTCAACCACCTACATATATATAGACGGCCCTTTATGTATACGAAGGAGGATAGTCGTTCCTCCGAATAGCGTCGGTGGTCTTCAAGTTTCATCAAGTTCTCACTCCTGACAAGTGACTTTTTATTCATACCTGTAGTGATTGAATCTCAGTCACTTTTGACCCAGCTTGCGTGCTGGATAATCATAATACTAGCGGTTGGCACGCGGGCCGCCAGGTGATGGATTCACTTTTAAGGCTGTGCGTACTCCGATCAAACCAACGGAGATGATACATTCTTACCTCGGAATCCCCACTCATCAGTTTAGTTTAAAGACTGTCACTCGTTCCTTTTTGATTTCCGGAAATCGTGTGATTACAGTCTCACCAACTAGTGCTGCGGTAGCCAGAACGACGCAGGGAGACAATGAATGCTATCAATAATAATCAGTCACCGTAAGCCCAACACTCCACAGCGGATGTCCGTCAACTTACCTAACTTTTAGATAGCCAATGTTCATCGACGCGTCCAGGAAAGAACGTTGGCAACATTCACACGGAAATGCCATGAATTGATGCAAACCGCAGCAGACCTGGCTCACCTCCCGCGAGTCGTGAGTATACAAAATGAGAAATGGATATACCTTGTATTGACTTGGAGGTTCCTGCAGGGTTCAAAGTTTTATTATCACGGCCCGCTTGTCGTTGCCCGATTCACCTCAGTAATACGAACCGGATCAGCGGTGACCCGCGCCTGGATATTTTTTCATCTCACTTTTCTGGAGTTCAATTTTTAGCTTTTACGAGCTCTCGCACAGGTTTGTTGTCATCACCAAAATAAATTCAATCGATTGGATTCGAAGAATGTTTTTGTACCTGGAAACTCCTGGATACCGCAGCATTATCATGATCATCATTCACCAATTGGAATAGCTGACGAGATATCATAGCAGTGGCTCTGTAGTTTGGCAACCGGTGAGTCGGTGACCTTCATGGCGCGACAGTGGGAATGTGGAACATAGTTGGTGTATAGCATTAGCAGTCTTGTCATGCAAGCGAACTGAAAAAGGCCTTCCGGTCCGGCAGACACCACTATGATACACGAGCTCCTCTCCTACAATATACTCCTATGACAATCAAGTGGCATTATTTTCCAAAGAATTTATGCGTTCGACCTCAAAAGGGTGTCCTCTCCCTGGTTGGGCCAAAACATCTCCTCAAGTTCCACAGCTCTCTCCCAAATACTCTCCATCGCACGTACAGCTGAGTGTGAATGCCCATGGTGACGTCTAGCAAAGTGCTTGTTTGCCAGAGCCTCCACCTTCTGGACAAATTCCTCGAACTCCGGTCTCGTCCAGTTGTTTGTTAGTTGGCGAATCGCATTTGCAGTATAGTCTTCTGAGTCACTTTGGGGAGGGAACAGGGATTTTACATACTTCCATGCATCGAGGTATACCTACAGAGCCTGTGTCAAGTAGCGTAATATGTCGATTGCGAGGCATACACACCTGTTCCATTGCCCACAGAAACACGAGTCCCTCTTCCAACGAACCAACAGAAGCCACCCTTGCCATCTCAGCTGTGTAATCTCGTGTGGCCTTCCGTTCTTTCCAACCATCGATATCCAATTTCCACTCCGTTGCGACCCCTTCAAAGAATGCAACCTCGCGAATAATCCCCTCCAAGCATATCGTCAGCAGGGCGAGAGTCTCTCTGTTCAATTCCTCCTCAACAGCAGGTCCATCGAAGGGAATTTTTGATATGAGCAGACCAATAAAGTGTGGGTATGCGTGTGCCGCATAAATGCGATCCTGACAGAGCCAAAACGCAAGACGGGCTGGAGATAGGGTCAGCGTACCAGCAGCTGTAAGAAATTCGTGCCGAGTGGCTGCGTTGTAGCATGGCCTCAAGTTAGCTTGGTCTTTCAGATGTTGCGTGATATGACTATGCATGTTTGACGACTAGTACTGAGTACTGAGTGGTGGAAATGAGTGGTAGTAATGCGCGCATACTATATGTCGTCACACGTCTTATCTTATCTTATCTAGTGGTCATTATCTAGTTCCTCACTTCCCTGGCAACTCGACTTCCCAGACGCGCACACATCCATCGGCGCCAGCGCTCAAAACACGTCCTGTCTTTTTACCATCGGTGACATGTGCGTCACCGAGCCAAATGACACAGTTAACGCCCCCTGGACCCGCCCCCTTAATGAGAACACGTTTCGATATGTTTTCCAAACTCCAGACGTAGAGGTTGGTGTCAAGAGATCCCGAAACAACATGGGTCGGAGACAGGGCTGGAAAGAATTCCAAGGAAGATATGCGCGCAGTGTGCCAGTCCCAGCGAGTCGGAATAGGCTGGTGGTTCATGACATCATTTCAGTGTACCCGGTGTAGTGATTAGCAAAACTTACCTCGCCACTCTGTGAGTGATATAACGCGATCTTTCCGGCAGACTGTAGATGAGATGTCGGTAACGGGAACCTGAATCAGAACTGGTGCTTGAATACTCACATTTCCTTGCACTATCAATACTCCATCATTTGAGACCGCCAGCGCAGTTATCGTGCCTTCGCTTTCTGGAAGTACTAGTTTCTCCGTCAACGTATTACCATTCCAAGTATAGACGTGTACGCGTTTGTCCTTGAGCACGATAAACTGAAAATATCAAAGTTTATAGAATGGAGATGCTCACCTCCCCACCGACTGCAACCACAAGTCCCCCAGCGCCCACTGCGCTTGGTGCATATGATGGTTTCAGCTCGAAAACCCTTTGATTGTTACGGATTGCTTCTACCGAGGTGATGCCAGCGACAAATACGGTCTCGTCTGATGTCACTGCAACGGACTTGGGCTGCGACAATGAAGGGATGGACGCAGGTCTATCACACCCATTTCAATAAAACAACGACGCGGAATTGCAAAAAACAGACGTGTATGTGGATCCCTCAATCTCTCTGATGTGGTCATCATAACCTGCGGTGAATACCTTCCCAGAGCTTGCAGTCGCCATGCCAGATACAAGACTTGTGTGTAACGTGCCCCCTACCAGCTGAACGGCATCTGAAGGTAATGTCGAGTCCACGTTGTATGATAACACTCGCCCGTCAGCCGACCCAGCGAAGAATGTATTCGAAGACGTTGACGAGGCTGCGGTAATTGCTTTTTGTGGAGCCTGTACGAAGAGTGTCAAGTAAAGCACCATGAACTCAGGAAGGGTTGCATACTTGAAGGATACGCGTTGGCTTATCTCCCGTGCGCAGGTCAAAGACATTCAAATCACCAGACATAGAGAGTGACACAAGGTCACTGATACCACTCCAGACACCGCCGACTTGCTGATTGGGTACGCCACTGCCAACAGTCCAAGCCTGCAACGACTTATGGGACTCGATATCCCCTGGATATGACCAGTTCAGTCAAGTTAGTAAAGCGCAGTACGTTTGAGCGCGCACATAATCTAACAGTGCAATCTAGAGAAGTCGTAAAGAATGACTTGCTATCTGGGCTCCAAGAGCAGGACATCTAGTAGAGACAATGTCAGTCTCTCAACTCGAACCACGCTTCCGTCACAACTCACAATGGTTCCTTTGTGCGGGCTGTCCGTAAACTCTGTGACCGTCTCACCAGTCTTCCCATCATAAAGGAAGACTTTCGAGTCTGAGCCCACACTGGCGAAGTGGTCACCTGAGGGTCCAAATTGAACATCTTGCACGAATTTGGTGTGTGTTCTGATGGTCTTCACATATTTTATAGTCAAACACTCATACCCTAAAGAAGTTTCAGACCTTATCGTATTTGAAAGGAACGCCTGCAGGATGCCAAGGATTCAGTGTTCGTTCGATGAACTTGAATGCTATTTACCTTGATGAAAGACGATGGAATTATCATCGGAGGCGGTAGCCGCCCTAAAGGGGCGCTGATACCTAATAGAAACAGCATTGATTACCTACCCGAGATGAGCTTGTTAGTTCACACAAATGGTGACGACGAACCTTTGAGTGTCCACTGATTTGACCCGTCGAAGAGCCGGAATCGGCAAGAAAGGCATGACCAAATCTTCAAAATCACTGTCAGTTTCTGTCCGCTCTACATAGACACTTTGCGTACTTCTCTCTGCCATCGCCAACCGCAATTATCCGCTTGCTTTCGCCATCCCAAGCCAGGTCGTTGCTACCGATTGCGAACAGTGTCACTCAGATAAACTCTCGATGAGCAGAGCATACCACTTACACTTTCCCGGAGATAACTTTGTATTCTCCTTTCACAGTTTGATCCTCGCCTATGGTATCCCATATCTTGACTGTAGGATCAGATTTGATCAGCGACAGCGACTTTATCACATAGAACACTGTAATAGATGCGCACCTGTTCCAGTGATGTCTGCAGATGCGCAGTAGAAGCCAGATGGTGAGAAACGTGCAACAGTCGTATTGTATGCGTGACCAGAGAAAGTCGTTGATAGGGCGGCATTCTAGGTGGACCAGCATTGAATAAATAATAAAAACGAGTATCAAGATCGATCCTCACTTTAAGGTCACGGATCTAGAGGTGGATAGCCCATGAGTGAACAGCATGAGGGTGTATGATGGGCGACGACGCACGATCACAGTTTTGCCATTGGTATAGACAACCTTATCTTTACTAGCTGAGATTTTTGTCGATGTTCCACGTACGGTATTGGGAGAGCAAGGATATAAAGCGATTCGCTTGGATGACATTGCGGGGATCACTGAAACTTAGCAAGTGTGGTTGACAAGGTCAGATGTGTAGACTGATCAAAAGTCTGGGCTGCGGATACGGTCGTGTCAGGGGAAAGACAGATTAGGAAACAAGCAAACCGTCGGTCGACGACCAGTGACTAGTCTTTAGCCAGCCTGCTAGGTTGGGGGTAGAGGTTAACAATCTTTGTTCTACAGATAAGCTAGCAGGGTCACGATCTGCTAAGGATACTTTTACAAAACTCAAGACTAAACCCAAGATCAAGATGTTGAAGCAGGAGGGGAAAGTGAGTGTAGATAATAATGTAGCATACTAACCGACAATAGCCTAGGCGAAAAGAGGGGTTAAACAAGGGAAACATCATTCAGTCATCCTGTGGACATTCTTCTGTAGAATAGTTCTTCAAAGGATCTTTCCTCAACGCTTCTGCTTCAGATCCAATCACAGGTCCCCCAACAGTTTTTAGTTTCATCACCGTCTCAGGTGCAAGCGTTGCAGCCGACGGGTCTATTTCAGGCTAGATCGATAAGCAGCTGTCAGCAACTTTGTAAGGCCATACAGTAAAGTTTACTCACCTCATCTCGAAAGGGTGTGAATTGAGCGATAGACGGAATACCGCCACCGTTGGGGATGTCATGGAACGGTATCATGGTGCTAGTCCTTGTGGGAGTCTCCGGTACTGTGTCCTTCTGCCTGGATATGGGAACACGAGGTGGGTCCATTACAACCTTTCCTTCCACGTCCATGTCTGGTTCGGGGTCTCTGAAAGGCACAATTTTTGGTGCAATTGCTCCCGAATTCGACCCAGACGCAATTCGTCTAGTACGACCTGCTTGCTTTAAGGTGCTGCCTGCAGCTTTGCTGACCTCGGGTACATTTTCTTTGACACGAGATTTACGTGTTCCGATATCAGGATAAGGTGTGACTGAATCCATTGCGTCGGCCGACCCTGCTCCGGAAGGGTCCACGAAAATCTGGAGACGAGCGTTTGTGCCTAGCCGTGGTCCACTTCGAGACCCATTGGCACCGACTTGCGATGATGACGAAGGAGTTGGTACTGCAGCAGAAGATGAGGAAGTCACCCCCAACGCTGTTCTACGTGGGGGAGCATTTGGAGCGAGCTGTGGAGTCATTGTGGCTGCAGTCATCATTCGTTTCTGGAATTCACTATGCTTTGCTACAAGTCTATCAAGGGGAAAAGCCTGACGTGCAATTCCAAGTAGATATGCAGCATCTGCTTCACTGCGCCTGCGACAAAACCTTGCTTCAAAACGAGCCTTGCGTGAAGTTAGGCTGAAGCTTACCGTCCGGCTCTCTCAAGTGCAGCCGCGTATTCCTCATACAGTAGAGCATGATCGGTTCCAATATCATTTGCGAGCAAAAATTTGTAGATGATGCTCGGTTTCTCCACATAGCTCGCGTACAGTACCCAAAGTTTGAGGTACGTCGACGTCCCTTTCCATCGTCCTTCTCGGTTGTCCTTTAATACCCGCGTTGCTTCTTCCAGAAGCTCTAAAAGTCCAGACTCTGCACTTTGCCCTTGGGGGTAATTTTCGAGAGTCCATTGAACAAAACGCGAGTATGCTTCCAGTGGATCATCATCATCATCTTCGAGTGCAATTTGGATGTTCGTACGGAAGCGCTTGCGCGCTGCGAGTAGTTGCGCATCCCGCTGTGCGTGAGGAGTTTGCAGGATAGCTGAAAGAGTGGTAACTCGACGACCAGATGCAAGTGGCTGGATATTCTCTTTAGCAGCCTCTAGAACGTCACAGTCCACAATCACAGGGGCTGGTTTGGACACGTCGTCTTCTATATTCTCCATGTGTTAGAGGATCAAGAGTGAATTTTGGTCAGTGAAATGGTTGTAACTGACATTCATAAGTAGCAACAAAACAAGTCTGAACGCTACGTGGTCACGTGGAATACGCGTGACCGTCTCCAGAAATCAAATTAGATCGAGACCCACTGTAGATGGCTTGAAGTCTTGCAAAGCAAATGGTCATTAATATAAGCCCTTATACATACTTACCATCTCTGAAACTCAAATATTCTCTTCCAGGCAGTGTACTAGTATGTTGCAGAAAATTCACGTGCCAACACTCACTTCTGTGTACTAACAATGAACTTCATCTGTTGTGCATAGCGAGAAAATGTCAAATAAGAAATGAATGATAAGTTACTGCATAATTCTGTGTAAAAAAGCAGAACCAGCAACCCAGAGATGTCTATAATTGACCCAAAATGGCAAGCACTGGTAAATGATTGTTGGGAGGGAGATCTCGAGTCTCGGGCAAGGTGGCCCACAGGACACGAAGACTGACTTGCACAGC